ACAAACAATGTTGCATTAGAATGCAATTTGACTGCGCAAAAAGCACAGCTGCAGTGTATACATATAGATTATAACATGGCATTTTTCATATCAGACCCCTTATCAGCCCTAGGTCATAATATCATCCCGAGAGCCGACAAAATAACAAGGATTTTATAAGATTTTCAAAAATGGCTTTTTAAACTATATGTAAAAAAATTATGAAAAGAAAAGTAGAGGTTAGTGGGCAATTTTTTTTATGGCACTACATGGATAAAACCAGAGGATTCCGAATATCTGACAAAAATTTAAATACAAGAGGAGCAAACATCCTTAATCTATTATTTGTTTTGCATTTTTTAATAATATATTTTCCTGTTTCCTACTAATCGTTTTTTACACTACTTAGTTATGTTTTTACACTAAAATGTACATGTAATCGACACTAATAAGTTAATTTGAGAGCCACTTAGTTGTAAAAATCATTATGGAATAGTATCTAAAGTAACTTACAAATTTCAAACAACATTTATCAATAATTCAAATATCAATATTTTTTGTTTTTTAGCCGATAGTAATTACTCTTTTCCTTATCTTGCCCGATCTCTTGTGGCGCTTAATTGCAGCATATGACAAAATATCGTTTTTATACTGGTAATGTAAGACTTTGGTTTCACATTAGTTTAATACATTATTAAAGGAACGGCTGCTGTATGAATATCATTTTCGCTTTAAAAAGAGTGTTTTGCCGTTTCAAATGTTTCAAAAATTCATCAAAGCTTATATCTCAATTAAAATGATTCTTTGAAATTAGAATGACAATACTCATCTCTTTCATTTAAACCACGAGCAAATGTTTCATCTCATGATTGTGAATATCTTATGTGATTATGTGATTATAGTTATGTTTTCCTGAGTAAAGATTACCTGTATTTGTATAGGTCTTAATGTAACGTTGGGTAACAATTTTTTCAGGTTACTAGGACTCGCTCAGCGTGAAATGACAACGTCCAAACTACGGTATTAATAATTTAATAAAGAATATATATGACATAACACTATTTACTTTATCTGACATTCAATACAGTTAACATCATTGGACGAAACGATCCAAAAAGATATTTCCCTGCCTTGTTGTATTTGTGCCACCAAATAAATAATTAATTATGAAAATAATTAAAGTCACATGAAACGACTTGTAATTATAATGTTATCGAAATTATTGAACCAATGCACGCATATATACTTAGTAGCCTATTAGGGTGCCCAGTCAATGGATTTGAATGATTTGGGTTATTAGAATAACACACGGCTGTACGTTATATCAGTAGAAAGAGGATAACAAGCCTCATCGAAATATTGATGTCGTCGTTGTCTACGGTGGTGACGATTGTCTTAACTTTGTGTCAATGGTCAAAGCTAAAATTTCAGAGAAAACGCAGATCCACCTTTAAACAGCGTGCCGACCTTATATATATCCGTTTAGAGCGAAATAAATTCGAAGAATTTAAAACGATTATTACTTTAGTTTCTATATTTTGTTGATTTGATATTTAGGTTGCAAAATATGATTCGAGATTGACATTTGTACTTTTCATTCAACTGATAAATAACAGTGACATCAATCGATTAAAATCTCCAAATTTTGAATTTTCACATAAGATTCGATACAAGTGATCATAAGAGATGTCATTTACATATTAACATTTATAAGTTGCCCTTCAAAAATGTTATTTTTTCCGTCTTTTGATAGAAGGTGTTTGTAATGCTTTTCTGGGTAAATATCCAACTTTCTTTTGCTAAGTGTGGAAGCACATACAATTGTACTTTGTTCCAAAACAGGTGTAATAATAACGCAGAATATATTGAATTAGCAGGTCTGAGTATATCTTTGCTCTATAGAAACGAGAAATACTGCAAACGGTGAAAAAGGGTGAGGGGTCTGTCAAAGTTTAATCACTCCATCTTACACACTAATATGACTTATTGAGCATCATCTGGCTATACTATTGACATGAAGTTAAAGATTATCTACAAAATGAGTGCTATGTACAGCATCGAAGTATTCTACTTACACCATTTTGTAACACATATAAACAAAATAGAAATATTGTCAAAGCAAGTAGTAGCTTTTACGTTTCATTGTCTACTGTTAGTTTGAAAGTCTAGGTCTAAGTCAGAGAGCTAATTTCAGGTGTTTTTATTTTTAACTTGTATTCGACGCAAGAATGCGAGGCATAGATAATACAATCTGATGGTGGTGGCGGCGGGATCTGCGTAAACTATTTGTATAGTTTTATGTTTCAGAATGTCTCACTTATCATGAGTTCTGGGATAACTAGATCTGGTTACTAGTATATGGTATCCATGCAAGGTCTACATGTCCATCAGACATGGTTCACCTGACCTTGACCTCAGTTCATTGATAAGTGAACAAGGTTACGTTTCCGTGGTATAGTCCATATCTCAGATACTATATATAAGTTGTGGGTCAAATATACTTGTATGGAATGATAGCAATGTATACATTTCTTTGTGGAAGAGTTCAACTGACCTTTCCTCATTTACGCGTGGATCATTGACAATGTTTATTTTATGTAATACTTGGTCTCTTAAACTATCGACATAGTTCAGGTATGTTTAATCAAGCATGCTGTACCTTATTCCTTATCTTATAGAAAAACCTGATATAACATCCTAGCTTTTACAGTAATGATCTTTATGGTCTTACTTTTCACGTACACTTGTTTTTAAAGTACAGTAAATCGTAGCCGTTCAAGTACATAAAACATGTTCTTTTTTTTTTTAATTTGAAGTTAATATTATTTTTCGACGTCCAAATACCTTATTAGTGAGGTATAAATTAAACAGAGTAAAAGAGATGGGATTCGAAGTAATTTCACACGGATTCAAGTAAGATTTGTCGCCAGGGAACCATCAGCTACTATGCAAGACTAATATTAAAATAGTTAAAATTTTAGCAATTAGACAGGTTGAGACATTACAAAAATTCAACCAGTTGAACAAGATTTTTTTTTAAGAAATCAAATAAGTAAGTACTATATATATACAAAGAACGCAAATTACTTGAGGAGCAATAAATAGGCAACACAAATCCTTTAAAACTTTGAGGTTAGGTCTGATTTGTGATAATATATTATTTTACCATGCTATATATATTAAAATGGTTACTGAATAATATCGATTAATCCTGCGTCATATGCTGTTAAGGTAACAAAGGTGTGTGGGGTTGTTTCAAAAGTCGAAGCAACAAAGACAGCTTTTTTGTTTATTTCGAAATCTGTATTTTTACTAACTCAGACCCTAACCATAACCTAACTAACAGGCTTGCTATTTTCCCCAAACGAAAACAGATGAGTTAGATTTAATTATAAGGTTACCACAAATAATTCTGTATATAGCAAAGGTCTCTTAATTCTAATCATATCAGTTCAGAAAACTAAAACGTATCTATGTCACAATCTCGTCCTCTTTTCTTTGATCATGACATAAGGTGTCACATGTGGAACAGTATCCTGCTAACCATTCTGGAGCACATAAGATCGTGTTGTTCAATCTTTAGTTTTTTATGAAGTGCTTTGGAGACTGTCGTTTGTTGTTTGTTTGTTTTTCCTTTTTTGCAAGTTTTTGTTAGTTTTTCTGTGATTTATGGAGTTTGAATTTTCCTTTGGATACCGTACTCTTGTTAACAAGTCGTGAAGCGTGTGAAATTGATTTTCTTACTTTACATCTGTAAGGTCAAGTATTCACTTATTTGAAGCTGTGCATAATTAAAACTATCGCATTGATCTGAGTTTGATTCTATTACACCCTGACTAGTACATGTAGTGATAGCTTATATATAATCTACGCTGGCTGTGGCTATTGTTTTAAGTCCCTATATTTAACATAGCTCCACAAGTATGTATACATAACTGACTTTGCAAGTTCGAATCTAGCCGTTTTGGATGAAGGTGATATCAATTGGAAGCACGAAATTTGTACAGTATCATTTTTGATTTAACATAAATACAACGAAAAAATAAAGACGATTGCGATGTTTGTTTATTTATAAAAAAAAAAGCCTTCTGGTAAAAGCTATGTAGATGAATCATGTACAGAGTTCACTAATTATATAATTTATGCATGTCTTCGTTCAAAATGATTTGATAGGACTTGATTCATCAAGTTTATGTTCTGTCATAAAGCAATGTATTTTCTAACTATACTTTAAATGATATAACTGAATAGGAAAAATATGTACCCTTACCATTCATACACATGTTCATCATGGTAGTTCATTGAGTCATCTGCAAATATTTAACGAAATCATTCGCTAACTTACCACACAAACACGAAGTTGTATGTTTGATTGTTGTAAAGCTTTGATAAAAAAAAAAACAATCCAGCGTTTACGATCTAGTAAATAGTTATGACGAAAACATTTGAGTATCACCCAGGAAAATGACAAGACAATAATAGACGAAATACCGTTATTTAAAAAAAAAAAATATATTTGGTATACGGAATCGAACACTTAACAAAATTGAAAGTCCCTCTTTACTCACATTGAACCGATGTAAATGTAACTTCATGTACTATTTTGTCAGATATTTGATTTTCTTCAACCATATGTTAAAATCGGTGAATTGATTTAGAATTTTATTAATCGGTTACGCAACATCATGTATTAGTTTCTAAGATTGCTTATTAATGACGCAAAATAACTTGGAAATTGATATACATTAATCTAGCAATTATATTCGATAGTCTTTACGGTGCATTCGTAAATAGTCAAGTAGTCAAGAACTAAGACAAAAAGCGTTTAAAAGTACAGAAACCGTTCAGGTGCAAAACGATTATTTTAATACCATTATAGGTTATACCTCTCTACCGTTAACTTAATATGCTTATTCTTCAAAAATCAAATAGCTTCTTGAAACGTGTGACATATGTTATACATAATATGTTTTAATAAATAATTGATCATAGTTAATGTTGTATGTATTCCTTTCCGACAGAGGGGGAGCAAGACGTGCATGGTATACACATTATATCTGTTTGAGTTTGTGAAAAAGGAAAAAAGAAATCCAGTCACATCATTTGTATTGCTTTTTTTCTCGCCGTTATGTGCGGAACATGTAAGTCAAGTCTATAACTACTTCTATGTGATATAATTTTTATTTTAACGAGAACATACATTATACCCACTGACGGTTTATATGAGATAAATAAACATTCTCAAAAATGTTTTCGGAATTAGACAATATTTGATTGCACAGATAACCGCATAATTTTCCGATAAGAAGACAGTGCTCCGGTACTGGCATGATAAGCATAGCATTTTTTCCGTAATTATAGATTATCGATGGTTTTTCAAACGAGACGGTGCTTCTCATCTACAATTTTATCGGAAGGCGACAGCCCTGAGCTGAGATGTGGCCGAGAAACATCCTAGAGTTGTACTCAATAGTTTTTACTTATGGAAAAGATCTTTAATCTCTTGTCCATGGTTCAAATTTGAATTTGATATTTTTAAAAAGGCTTCAAATAGACATGACAAAGGTCAGTTTTTATGATTAATATGACTACTATATTAATCATGAAAACATACTATTTTACATATATTTTGATTTCATTGCTAAGTGTAAATAACTGTAATAAGATCTTTGAATTATACATTATCGATGGTTTTTCAAACGAGAGGGTATTTCTTAGCATTAATATCATCGAAGGGCGATAGTCTTGAGATGAGGTGTGGCCGAAAAACATCCTCGAGTTTGAAAGACCATTGATAATTTGTTTATCGTTATTTTGCCTATGATGTAGTTGATGTTTACATTGACAACGCCACGTGCGCCCTTAGTTTCTGACGATGATTTTCTATCCCAAGCGAGTAGCATGATATGAAAATTTTTACAAAATAGACCAAAGAAAATACACAAAATGGCGATGATATTGTTTTATCGTTTCCTGCATCGATTTGTTAATCAATAAAATAAAGCAAAAATATAAGTTATTGCTATACGACTGTAAATGTTAACGGTCCTACATTCTGTCGAAACATATTTCATGGCATTGCACAATATCATGTTTTCTCTGACTGTGTATGACGTCTTTATACTAAATTTATTGGATGTGTACTGATTGATATTTAAGTACATGATTTTTTCATTAGTTGTTATTGTCTTTGAACTATCTTTCAGTAACTCTCGGTCATAGAAATACACTCAGAACTCGGAGTATATAATTTGTGCTCAAAACACCAAAAACAGTAGGTTGATTGGTTGAATTTCTGAGTCTCAGTACGATAATCGTACTCGATTTTTTTATGACCATAAGGCCCGTACTTTGTTTCTTAAGTCTTGGGTGTTTTGTTTGGATCTCATGAGTCAAGCCTTTTTCAACTAATTTTCATAGTGGATTTTTATGTTGTGCTGTTACATCAATGTTCCAGGTTCGAGGGGGAAGGGGGTTGTTGGGCGCCACATTCTGTGTGTGTCTGTCCATAGTCAGAAGCCTGTAATTTAGTGGTTGCCTTTTGTTGCTGTATATCATAGTTGTGTTTCGTTTATTGTTTGTTACATAAATCAGGTCGTTAGTTTTGTCGGGCCCTTTTATACATGTAGCTTGCTATCTGGTTCAGGTTTTGCTCATTGTTAAAGGCCATACGATGACATGTCGTTGCTTACCTCTACGTTAGTTGGCCTCTGGTGGAAAGTTCTCATTGGCATTCAAATAACATCTTATTATTTTTATATGTAACCGCTTTTCATGTTTCTATGGTCAATTTTAAGTTTTCGCTCAAATATTGGTTTCTCAGTTAGATATAGTAAAAGATCAACAACCTTTGAGTTCTTTAATGTTTATAGTGTTGAGTGCAGTCTGCAGATTAGTTTACATTTACTTTATTACCATTGCTCATATATCAGTCTGTCAATAGCCATCTGACTATAATCTCTTATAGTTGTAAAACATGAAAACTTTCTGTTTAATGATATTATAAGTGAATATGAGCAATAAGACATAGAATTGAGAATGGAAACGGGGAATGTAACAGAGACTTTAGACATAAGACATCTATGTTTTATCATTTTGAATCCTTTGTAGATATTATTTTAATATTTTAGTGTTATTCTAAATCATTAACAAAAATCAATGTTAGTACCGATAGAGATTCAAAGATCTGATAACATAGTTACATTGATACTGTCTTGAATATTTTAGATTAATAAGTTAACATGGATCATATCTAAGTTTACAGGTTCTATAAACAACTCTACCGTTAAAATCAGGATGTATCCTATTTGTAAAAAGGTTTCTACAGTTACAATATTAACTACCGAACTTTCAAACTAAACGTATGTATCTATGAAAGAATTTGAAAAATTTGTCAAGTAATTTGTAGTTAAGAAATCCCTGACTTAATAATTTACCAGTTATATATAGATTGATTTTAGCGAAATTTGAAATTTCATTACAGACTAAGGCATAACGAATGTGTTTGGAAATATACACATCGTAAGAAGGGACTAACTAAATATAAGCACCCCAAAAAAAAAGGATAATCAGCAAGAGGGACTGAAAAATCGCCTCTTTTGTAGAAAAAAAAATGTGTTTATATTTGTCTGTGTGGAAATGAAATGACCAAACCTAGAAAAGGTAACATTATAACTGTTATATTAGGTGCATATTTAACATGTTTGAAGCCGTTTGCATGATGTCAATATGTGTATTATGTTTAGAAACTTCTTGATTATTCTAAGCAAAAAATTATCACCAAAGCAAGTGTTATAAAATTTTTCAATCGAATTGATTTTAACGGATCTCAACTAAATTTTGCCACAAGCTAGCTGTGATTTACAACAGTACAGGAACACATCTGCTCTTAAAGGGTCTCAATTGGTGTTCGTATGATAACCTTCAACCAGTTCATATTATCACAATTTTAGGAAGTAAATGTAGCATATTTACCATTTTCATTACAAAAAGGCTTTATATTAGTCACATCAAAATCATGTCTAATCACATTCTTCAAAGGACTTTTAATAAAATAGTAAAACAACTCTTTGTCAATGATTATATTGTATAGACATGTAATATAGAGAGTCATAACTATATATGAGTTGAAACGAACATCAAAAACACGGAATGTATGTAAACCATTCGAATGATGTTTTACACTCCAAAAAATCATTTCCATTTCTTTTATCTTACACAAGTAATAATAAAAGTTTTAATTGGAGAAGGGGAACTTGTTACAAGAACACACAGATAAGTTGTAAAACATTTACTAAAATGAAAGATGAAACGGTATTTGACGAGTTATTGTTTTGTTTGTTTTTTTTTCGCAAAACTATGGATTTATAATTTCCCTCTGAAAGCCTCCTTTCACATACTTTCCATATATATTTTTTAAACTTAAGTTTGTTCTATCGTGTATTATATATTTTGAAATATAATGTGTTTACATCTTGTTTTCCCGATCAGATACACTTTCTAAACTGAATGAATTGTTAAAGTAATTAACTAAATGTGGAAGCCTTACATTTTACAGGTTATTCAGCATTAAGGTGTAGGAGGAGTGGAGGAGTTTGTACGAAAAGCTATTGTCCAAAGGGGTATTTTGAGGACCATTTGCCACACGAAGACTGTTGTTCTACTGAAAGATGTTGTCTTCTCTTGTGGCATCAAAAGCCATCCAAATTTCCAAGTACTTACTTTGATTTAAATCAATTAGGTTTATTTGGTTTATTAGGAACTCATGTACATTAATTGTCCAATTATGTGCTGTTCATTTCTTCAACAACTATTATATCAGTATGAATTTCATATAGATATGAACATATTGATGACAACGCGCTATGAATCGAATAAGTCATTGATCAGTAATCATTATCACTATTATCGGACCTGAAACCTGGACATATGAATATCAATCATAGTATGCACAACTGGGTTTCTTGAATATTTATCTTTAAATCCGATCGCCACCAAAAGTTTGGAAAGCGGAACGCATTTTAATTTTCAGAGAATTATCAACAACATGCCTTTAACAGAACAACATAATGTACTTAATCTACATGTAGCATGAGATACGAGGATAATTAATAGACAATAAGACAGCACCCGAACGACGAAAAAAACAAACAGACATCTCCACAGCAACATATACAATCTTAAACAATAGTCGGGGGTTTTAGGAATATTTCAAGGTCTATATCTAACCCAGTCTATACAAGTTGTGAATAAATTTGAATGACACAATTTTCAATCTTTGTTTTTTGTTAGTTGTCATATTAATCGACACTAATAAGTTAATTTGAGAGCCACTTAGCTGTACAAATCATTATGGAATAGTATCTACAGTAACTTACAAATTTAAAACAACATTTATCAATAATTCAAATATCAATACCTTTTGTTTTTAGCCGATAACAATTACTCTTTTCCTTATCTTGCCCGATCTCTTGTGACCCTAATTGAAGCATATGACAATATATTGTTTTTATACTGGTAATGTACGACTTTGTTTCACATCAGTATAATACATTGTTAAAAGAACGGCTGCTGTATGAATACGATTTTCGCTTTAAAAAGAGTGTTTTGCCGTTTCAAATGTTTCAAAAATCCATCAAAGCTTATATTTCAATTAAAATGATTCTTTGAAATTAGAATGACAGAAAAAAACAAAAAATAAATATTACTTGTACATATCTTCAAGTTTTTAGCAATACTCATCTTTTTCATTTAAACCACGAGCAAATGCTTCATCTCATGATTGTGAATATCTTATGTGATTATGTGATTATGGTTATGTTTTCTTGAGTAAAAGAATACCTGTATTTGTATAGGTCTTAATAGAGATTTCCAATAAAATGACATACGTACCTAACTCGACGTACGCACGTAAGGGGACCGGTTATTGATAACCTATTAATTTTATTAAATGCATCACTCAAGTTTTAACTAAGTATTCCTTAACTATTAAACCTATTCAGGATAAATTTTATCAATATCAAGTATTTCTAAGATGATGAAAAACGAAAGAAACCATGATTTTGATATATCGCGTGATTATTGAGATTCCCGCCTAAACTTCACTGTCATAAGACCACGTATAGATACGTATCGTTACCTATCATACGATTGATTTGAGTTGTCTTTCATGGTTTTGACCATGACTTTGTTTTTCGATATACTTTGCAAATGAACCTTTTATTATTTAATATTTTACATGCTTTTATTTGTCGTTATCAGATTGGTGTCCCTTCTTCTTTTCGTTTTTTAATGTTTTATGATATTTAATTTCCGTGGGTGGTTATCATGAGACAGAGATTTTTCTAGCAATTTCAGAAATATTGAATTCAAAGTGTTAGTCAGAATTTGTCTCTGTTAAAGTTGATAACTGGGATTGCATCATCCTTTTTTAAGCATCATTTCAAACGTTCTCTTCTTCTGCAGTTAATCTTGTTTTTTTACAATTTTCGATTTTTTTTCCTCGGGAAAACGTACATATTTAAAAAAAAAAATTAACACAGGTCTTGTACTTGACATACATTTTTCTTTCAAATGAAAGTCAACTAACATTAAAATAAAAAGAATTTTGTAATCAATAATAATATATGTAAATAAATGTGTACACCAATTCGTTATATAGATTGTAATTTGGAAGGTGTACTTGATTAGCAATTGATGACTAATAATCTGCATATAAACATTGACCGCTGTGGATAGTAAACTATCAATTCATAGTACATAGTAATTGGCTAAAACAAGTCCTGTCTAAAGTATCTCTGATTAAAAGTGGATTAGAATGCCAATTTACATACTTTTTCCCTTTTTAAGACATCTATAATGTCACTTCAGTCTTTACAGGAATTTTTGTTTTTAAAATGAACTTTTAATAAGAAAGACGTGATAGTTGTTTTTGGATTAAGAAAACTCTTACTAATCCAATTAGAAGTGGATTCTAAAACTATCACATATTGATTGAGTAAGCGAAAATTTTGAGTTTCAATTTTTCTCTCGCTTTGGAGGTATATATATATATATATATATATATATATATATATATAAACAAGTCTAAATTGAAAACAACGTTCAAACCTATGATTGCGTTGGATAAAAACCGCAATTTTTATACGTGTGCATGCAAAGCAAATTTCTAGGTAGAGGGTATATATATATATATATATATATATATATATAAGTACGTCTGAACCAGTGACAACTCTACAACAGATGTATCCATCGATTCACCAGCAGTGATGGTAATACATGGTTGTGTTCATTCTGTATATACAACTCGTCTAAACATCAACCCAACAATGTTAGATCTGTAAATTTGCTTTCGCAATTTTTTTGTTCTTCCCTCGCCGGGTTTCTAACTCATGCTACTGAGAAGAACAAAAACATTGCGAAAGCAAATTTACAGATCTAACATTGTTGGGCTGATGTTTAGACGAGTTGTATATACAGAATGTACACAGCCATGTATCACCATCACTGCTGGTGATCCGATGGATAAATCTGTTGTAGAGTTGTCACTGGCTCAGATGTACTTATAAATATAATTATTTCTGTGACTGTATCTTGCATTAATTTGTAGGATCCTTTACAATAGATATTTCAGCTGATCTGTAACAATTCCATCTTCATGCCTTATATATCATGTACTGTATTACGACGCTAGATTAAAACTGTCCCAGGCATAGGGGGAGGGAGCACTCACAAACATGTTTCACCCGGACACATTCTTTATGTGGCTGTCCCATGTCAGGAGCCTGTGGTTCACTTGTTGTCGTTGGTTCATATCTGTTATATTTGTTTTTCGTAAATTGTTTTGTTTTAAATCAGGCCTGTAGTTTTCTCAATTGAATTGTTTCATGTTGGCCCCTTTTATAGTCGACTATACGGTATGGATTTTTCTCATTTATGAAGGCGTACGGCTGACTATCATTGCTTACATCGACTTCATTTCTCATTGGCAATCATACCACATCTCCTTATTTTTTTATTTTCTTTTTAACTAAATACGCTTAATATTCTCAGGTATTTTAACATGTAAGAATCAGCTTTCAGTACCTGGGGGTACTTTAAGATCGGTATTCGCTGTCTTTCATCATTCAAATTTGATTAGTCGAGCTATGTCCAACTGAATTTTACAGTTTTTTTTTTCTTATATTGTGCTGTTACACCAGAGTGTTGAGCAATGATAAATGTGTTTAATCAAGCCGAATTCTATATTGGCTTTCCCAAGTCAGGAGCTTTCAATTCAGTGGTTGTCGTTGGTTACTTTCTGTCATATTTGGGTTATTTAAACTTATTTTTACTCTTGTAAAAAATTTGTTTTTCGTTTGAACTGTTTACATTTTTCCAAGTCAAATGAATGCCTTATATACTAGTATCTTATAATACGGTATGAGTATTTGTTTATTGCTGACGACAGTACGAGCCAATGTAGTCGTTATTCACAACAGTACAGGAACACATCTGCTCTTAAAGGGTCTCAATTGGTGTTCGTATGATAACCTTCAACCAGTTCATATTATCACAATTTTAGGAAGTAAATGTAGCATATTTACCATTTTCATTACAAAAAGGCTTTATATTAGTCACATCAAAATCATGTCTAATCACATTCTTCAAAGGACTTTTAATAAAATAGTAAAACAACTCTTTGTCAATGATTAGATTGTATAGACATGTAATATAGAGAGTCATAACTATATATGAGTTGAAACGAACATCAAAAACACGGAATGTATGTAAACCATTCGAATGATGTTTTACACTCCAAAAAATCATTTCCATTTCTTTTATCTTACACAAGTAATAATAAAAGTTTTAATTGGAGAAGGGGAACTTGTTACAAGAACACACAGATAAGTTGTAAAACATTTACTAAAATGAAAGATGAAACGGTATTTGACGAGTTATTGTTTTGTTTGTTTTTTTTTCGCAAAACTGGATTTATAATTTCCCTCTGAAAGCCTCCTTTCACATACTTTCCATATATATTTTTTAAACTTAAGTTTGTTCTATCGTGTATTATATATTTTGAAATATAATGTGTTTACATCTTGTTTTCCCGATCAGATACACTTTCTAAACTGAATGAATTGTTAAAGTAATTAACTAAATGTGGAAGCCTTACATTTTACAGGTTATTCAGCATTAAGGTGTAGGAGGAGTGGAGGAGTTTGTACGAAAAGCTATTGTCCAAAGGGGTATTTTGAGGACCATTTGCCACACGAAGACTGTTGTTCTACTGAAAGATGTTGTCTTCTCTTGTGGCATCAAAAGCCATCCAAATTTCCAAGTACTTACTTTGATTTAAATCAATTAGGTTTATTTGGTTTATTAGGAACTCATGTACATTAATTGTCCAATTATGTGCTGTTCATTTCTTCAACAACTATTATATCAGTATGAATTTCATATAGATATGAACATATTGATGACAACGCGCTATGAATCGAATAAGTCATTGATCAGTAATCATTATCACTATTATCGGACCTGAAACCTGGACATATGAATATCAATCATAGTATGCACAACTGGGTTTCTTGAATATTTATCTTTAAATCCGATCGCCACCAAAAGTTTGGAAAGCGGAACGCATTTTAATTTTCAGAGAATTATCAACAACATGCCTTTAACAGAACAACATAATGTACTTAATCTACATGTAGCATGAGATACGAGGATAATTAATAGACAATAAGACAGCACCCGAACGACGAAAAAAACAAACAGACATCTCCACAGCAACATATACAATCTTAAACAATAGTCGGGGGTTTTAGGAATATTTCAAGGTCTATATCTAACCCAGTCTATACAATTTTCAATCTTTGTTTTTTGTTAGTTGTCATATTAATCGACACTAATAAGTTAATTTGAGAGCCACTTAGCTGTACAAATCATTATGGAATAGTATCTACAGTAACTTACAAATTTAAAACAACATTTATCAATAATTCAAATATCAATACCTTTTGTTTTTATCCGATAACAATTAATCTTTTCCTTATCTTGCCCGATCTCTTGTGACCCTAATTGAAGCATATGACAATATATTGTTTTTATACTGGTAATGTACGACTTTGTTTCACATCAGTATAATACATTGTTAAAAGAACGGCTGCTGTATGAATACGATTTTCGCTTTAAAAAGAGTGTTTTGCCGTTTCAAATGTTTCAAAAATCCATCAAAGCTTATATTTCAATTAAAATGATTCTTTGAAATTAGAATGACAGAAAAAAACAAAAAATAAATATTACTTGTACATATCTTCAAGTTTTTAGCAATACTCATCTTTTTCATTTAAACCACGAGCAAATGCTTCATCTCATGATTGTGAATATCTTATGTGATTATGTGATTATGGTTATGTTTTCTTGAGTAAAGAATACCTGTATTTGTATAGGTCTTAATAGAGATTTCCAATAAAATGACATACGTACCTAACTCGACGTACGCACGTAAGGGGACCGGTTATTGATAACCTATTAATTTTATTAAATGCATCACTCAAGTTTTAACTAAGTATTCCTTAACTATTAAACCTATTCAGGATAAATTTTATCAATATCAAGTATTTCTAAGATGATGAAAAACGAAAGAAACCATGATTTTGATATATCGCGTGATTATTGAGATTCCCGCCTAAACTTCACTGTCATAAGACCACGTATAGATACGTATCGTTACCTATCATACGATTGATTTGAGTTGTCTTTCATGGTTTTGACCATGACTTTGTTTTTCGATATACTTTGCAAATGAACCTTTTATTATTTAATATTTTACATGCTTTTATTTGTCGTTATCAGATTGGTGTCCCTTCTTCCTTTCGTTTTTTAATGTTTTATGATATTTAATTTCCGTGGGTGGTTATCATGAGACAGAGATTTTTCTAGCAATTTCAGAAATATTGAATTCAAAGTGTTAGTCAGAATTTGTCTCTGTTAAAGTTGATAACTGGGATTGCATCATACTTTTTTAAGCATCATTTCAAACGTTCTCTTCTTCTGCAGTTAATCTTGTTTTTTTACAATTTTCGATTTTTTTTCCTCGGGAAAACGTACATATTTAAAAAAAAAAATTAACACAGGTCTTGTACTTGACATACATTTTTCTTTCAAATGAAAGTCAACTAACATTAAAATAAAAAGAATTTTGTAATCAATAATAACATATGTAAATAAATGTGTACACCAATTCGTTATATAGATTGTAATTTGGAAGGTGTACTTGATTAGCAATTGATGACTAATAATCTGCATATAAACATTGACCGCTGTGGATAGTAAACTATCAATTCATAGTACATAGTAATTGGCTAAAACAAGTCCTGTCTAAAGTATCTCTGATTAAAAGTGGATTAGAATGCCAATTTACATACTTTTTCCCTTTTTAAGACATCTATAATGTCACTTCAGTCTTTACAGGAATTTTTGTTTTTAAAATGAACTTTTAATAAGAAAGACGTGATATTGTCATAGTTGTTTTTGGATTAAGAAAACTCTTACTAATCCAATTAGAAGTGGATTCTAAAACTATCACATATTGATTGAGTAAGCGAAAATTTTGAGTTTCAATTTTTCTCTCGCTTTGGAGGTATATATATATATATATATATATATATATATATATATATATATAAACAAGTCTAAATTGAAAACAACGTTCAAACCTATGATTGCGTTGGATAAAAACCGCAATTTTTATACGTGTGCATGCAAAGCAAATTTCTAGGTAGAGGGTATATATATATATATATATATATATATATATATAAGTACGTCTGAACCAGTGACAACTCTACAACAGATTTATCCATCGATTCACCAGCAGTGATGGTAATACATGGTTGTGTTCATTCTGTATATACAACTCGTCTAAACATCAACCCAACAATGTTAGATCTGTAAATTTGCTTTCGCAATTTTTTTGTTCTTCCCTCGCCGGGTTTCTAACTCATGCTACTGAGAAGAACAAAAACATTGCGAAAGCAAATTTACAGATCTAACATTGTTGGGCTGATGTTTAGACGAGTTGTATATACAGAATGTACACAGCCATGTATCACCATCACTGCTGGTGATCCGATGGATAAATCTGTTGTAGAGTTGTCACTGGCTCAGATGTACTTATAAATATAATTATTTCTGTGACTGTATCTTGCATTAATTTGTAGGATCCTTTACAATAGATATTTCAGCTGATCTGTAACAATTCCATTTTCATGCCTTATATATCATGTACTGTATTACGACGCTAGATTAAAACTGTCCCAGGCATAGGGGGAGGGAGCACTCACAAACATGTTTCACCCGGACACATTCTTTATGTGGCTGTCCCATGTCAGGAGCCTGTGGTTCACTTGTTGTCGTTGGTTCATATCTGTTATATTTGTTTTTCGTAAATTGTTTTGTTTTAAATCAGGCCGGTAGTTTTCTCAATTGAATTGTTTCATGTTGGCCCCTTTTATAGTCGACTATACGGTATGGATTTTTCTCATTTATGAAGGCGTACGGCTGACTATCATTGCTTACATCGACTTCATTTCTCATTGGCAATCATACCACATCTCCTTATTTTTTTATTTTCTTTTTAACTAAATACGCTTAATATTCTCAGGTATTTTAACATGTAAGAATCAGCTTTCAGTACCTGGGGGTACTTTAAGATCGGTATTCGCTGTCTTTCATCATTCAAATTTGATTAGTCGAGCTATGTCCAACTGAATTTTACAGGTTTTTTTTCCTTATATTGTGCTGTTACACCAGAGTGTTGAGCAATGATAAATGTGTTTAATCAAGCCGAATTCTATATTGGCTTTCCCAAGTCAGGAGCTTTCAATTCAGTGGTTGTCGTTGGTTACTTTCTGTCATATTTGGGTTATTTAAACTTATTTTTACTCTTGTAAAAAATTTGTTTTTCGTTTGAACTGTTTACATTTTTCCAAGTCAAATGAATGCCTTATATACTAGTATCTGATAATACGGTATGAGTATTTGTTTATTGCTGACGACAGTACGAGCCAATGTAGTCGTTATTCACGTCAGTTGGACTCTGTTTGACAGTTTGACGCTCCACATCACCTTATTTGATATAATTAACTATAGTTGATGAATTCAATCTCTATATCAGAAGTTATACATGATAGTGAATAATTATGCAAGTTATATTTCAAACAGATCAATATATATTTCTTACAAAAAGAAGATAATACAAATTCCGAAGATTTTTTATTCATCTATCTGTATTTAAAATATCTGTTCGTCTTTTGGAAAGACCGGCGCACAGTTCTACCTAACATGACATGTGCCATCGGGAATGACGATAAATTGTTTAACGATCCTATTGCCCGAAATGTTTGTATCTCTTTTATAACATGTTCGATGTATACACGTCTCTTCCTATGTAGTGCATTCAACTTACGTCGCCGACGTCTCTCTGGTCTTTGTTGATTTCTGATATCAGTAGATTTGTACGGAGTTATCAATGGATAATTGTTTGGATATATGCTATCCGCTAATATATAACAATTTAATGGGAAGTTTAACGGCAGATTTGGTCCAATCGGCCTTATTTCATGGTACGAGTTCGCATCGTTGTCATGCCCAAGAAAACCTGAATGTACAAAGCAAATATTCTTGTCGTTGTCAGCAATAACCTACAATCAAATAAGCAATAGTATAGAATCTTTGTATTTTAGAAATACAAGTGTGGATACAGATCAGTGTGGATAGTATTTTTGGAAGTCTGTACAAATACAATAACAAATTAAATAATTAAGAAAAATGTTACACTGTAACAAATGTAACAGCACGAGACAATCAGTTGATAATTTAAGGATTGAATAACTTTTGTATTAGATTTGCCTATATTTAATAATGGTGTCTATGCGCTGAGAGTCTCAACATATAGCTAGGTTATATTCTTTGTGATACATAAATGACATCGCTACACTCATGTATTTATTATAAACGGCTATTTATCTTAATCTTAGAAACAATGTCTTGTTTCAAAGCAGGCGAATTCATCAGTGTTTGGACACATGAATTTTGGTGAAGGTTGGACATATTATTCAAAACATAACATTAGGGAACAAGATTTTAACCACTATCAGTCCATCAATGGCTGCTGTAACCCTGAACTAGTGACCTCAAAATCAATAGAGATCTTGTCTATTTTATGGGGCTCAATCAAATCAAGTAAGTTAAATTGGTTATGAGTTTCAAAAGATAACATCTGTTAACCCAAATTTACCAAAGTTTTGCACTTGATACTTGCTGCTGTTACCT